GACGGTTTGATAGGTGTGAGAATGCAGTGTTTGTGAAGGAAAGATACAGATTTTCAGATCAGTCAGTGAGGTATAATATTTTAGCATTTAGTTTGTAAAGCTCCAGTGTCTCATTATGAGAGGTTATTAGTACTGATTAAAGGGAAGCTGAGAAAACTGGGTGTAAAAGGTTAAGTAGAGTTAAGTGCCCAAGAATGTCTCTGCTTAAAAGGGACAATCCAGTGATTATTGTAGACATGGCATAGTTGAGAGAAATTCTCCCATTTCAGGTCTAAGATTGACTGATGATGTAAGAGGACATTGCTGTGAAAAATTGATGAGAAAATTATCTGAAAAGCGGACTGCGCAGGCTCCTCTGAAAGGGGACTGTCACGCAGGGACTGACTGCGGAGGATGGAGATCCAATGCGGTGCCCTTGGTAGGGTTGGCGCTAGGCGTAGGCGTAGTCGGAGTAAACAGGCTGGGGTCCGAGTCCGGGAAGGCGTTGTAGAGGCATAGGCACTGAATCGGCAGGCAAAGGCTTAGTCGAGGAAACAGGCTGGGGTCGGGGTCCGGTAAGGCGTAGAAGAGGCGTCTGTGTGGAATCGGCAGGCAGAGGCATAAACGAAGAGACTGGCTGGGGTCAGGATCCGAGAGACCGTAAAACAGGCATAGGTACTAAATCGAGCGACGAAAGCAGTAGTCGGAAAAGAGGGTCGAAGTCCAGGAGAAAAGGCGTCGTAAGGCAAAGGCGTAGTTCGTAGGGTAGCTCCAGGAGAGAATCTCAATCGTGAGCAATGACCAGGGGACAGGTGAGGGTTTAAGTAGAGGACTGATTGACACTTGCACGTTTGGTACGGGGAGTGCTTGTGGGAATGCTGGAGTGCTTGCCTGCGTGAGGGAGATTCGTGACAGGGACCACCTGAACATCTTGGAGCCCAGAGGTGTTTCATCTACAAGATTCAATGACAGGTCACTGGAATGCTCACATTTTAAGGTGATGTGCTGACTTTGAGCCACATTCTGTGATTCAAGTGTCAGTAAAGTCACTCCATGGGACATTGGGCCAACATACGCTGAATGGAAAAAACATTAGGGATGCCCTCCTAATATTGAGTTGCATCACCTCAGAACAGCCTCAATTCATCAGGGCATGGACTCAATAAGGTGTCGGAAGCATTCCACAGGAGCCCATGCTGACTCCAGTGCTTTCCACAGTTGTCATGAGGTGGCTGGTAGTGGATCTCTTTTCCGAAAAGCTTGTTCCATCTCATCCCACAGATGTTCTATTGGATTGAGATCTCGGGCCAGGGGAAGCCACCAGATTAAAAGCTGAATTAATTGTCATGTTTGTGAAACCATTCCTGGACAATCTTTGCCTTGTGGCTCAGGGCAATATCCTGCTGAAAAAATCAATTTGCTAATGGATACACTGCTGCCATGAGCAATGCACCTGATTGGCAACGATGTTCAGATAACCTGTGGCATTTAAACTTTGCTCCACTTTAATCAAGGGGCCCAGTATGTGTAACGAAATCACACCCCACACCATCACACCACCACCAGCCTGCAATGTTGACACACGGCATGATGGATACATTTTGTTTTCTTCAATCCCTAGTCCTCCCATCTGCATGAAAGAGCAGGAACCGGGATTCATCAGACCAGGAAATGATTTTCCAATCCTCCAGTGTCCAATGTTTACGTTCCTTAGCCCACTGCAACCAGTTTTCTGTTTTTTGATGAAAGAAGTGGAACTCTGTAAGGTTGTTGGCTGTACTACCCCATTCGTGTCAAGGTGTGTCAAGTTGTGCAATCTTTTATGGTTCTTTTGGCACCAATATTGTACTGGACTGTCAGTTGACTAACTGTGGACTGTCTGTTGATCTGCACAATTTGAGTCAGCTTCCTTTCACCACTTTCATTAATGAGCCATTTTTGACTGCTGGCCTGCCATTGGCTGGATGTGTTTTGGGTGGTGCACCAATCTAGATCTACACAGGACACTGTTAAGCTTGAAAAACCCAGCAGTTCTTGACACACTTAAACAAGTGCATCTGGCACTTCCTATCATATACCATTAAAAGGCACCTACATCTTTTTTATGGCCCACTCTCTCACATACACAATCTATGTCTCAATGGCGCAAGCCTTAAAAATACTTTTACCTGTCTCATTCCCTTCATCTACACTGATTGAAGTGGATTTGATAGGTGAAATCAATTAGGAATCATAGCTGGTCGGTCTATTTCAAGGAAAAAGTAGGCATCCCTAATGTTTTGTATGCTCAGTGTATGTGGCCGGTACAGCTTGTATGCGCAGTGGCATGGAGTCTACCATTGGCTAGAACTCTACAGGAAGGGTGTTATGGCAAACTTCTTCAATGATAAAAATGATCAACTATTACCTGGCTGATGGAACTGGAAATTGCTGTCTCAGACACTGTTTCAGAATATCCGATAAATACATGATCATGTTCAAATCTGGTGACTGAGAAGGCCATGGAATATGGATAACAGCAGTCTCATGATCATCAAATCCAGTGGTTACTGGGTGACCCTAAATGCTCTGTGGCTGGTGGCATTAACACCCACAATCTGAAATTTGTAGTCAATTGATCTGCAGTTGCTCACTTGTTTTGCCTCATCCTTTAAATACTCAGATATCATGAACCTAAAGTATGCTCTTCCACCCTCTGTTCCACTTTGCAGATGTCATTCTCTTGGAATTTTTGTCGAAACATCAGGAAGCTGAATTGTCTTGTTCACTAAAGCTCCTGCTAAACCCCAACAATCACCCTTCTTTCAAAGTCACCAAAATAGTGTCTTGCATAGTGCATTTGTGCCACGATAGTGTATTATTTTAAGCAAACAGGTCTGGCCAACATTTTTATAATGATCCTTAACATTCTTGGATGTCATCTTACTAAAGCATGATTCCACATCTATGTGAAAGCCTGATTTACTTGGGTGTTTTCATTTTTTCTAATGCCTGTATGTGGCATGTTTTTTTGCCTTATACTGTAGCTACCATCTATGGTTTGTGACAATGCTTCTAATTCAGAATCTCACAGAAAAGGTGCTGTAACAACATTTTATGTATCTGTTTTTGAAATTTTAGTACCATCACATTAAGACCCTTTAAATATTTATTTTAACTTTCACTCCTAATTGTCATTTTAAGGTGACTTAAAATCTCTCACATTAAAATGTTAATCCCAAATATACAAATACTTTGCACACATTTCATATACTGATGGTAAAAAGAAATACAACAGCTCCTCCTCCATACTCTGGCCTGCACTCTGGTTCAGTTTGCATGGAACAAGCTGAAGAGTGACTCATCCGTGAAGAGGACTTGATGCCACTGCTGATGAGTCCAGTCGGGACCAGTTGGGAGGTGTGAGCAGAGGGTCTCTGACAGGTCGCCCTTGCTTTGAGGCCAACAGCATGGAGCCTCACTGTCCTGTCACTGATGCAGACATTGTGTCTGTCGGCAGTTTCAGCAGCAGCACAGGTGGCAGATCTGAAAAGATCTGTTAGATGGACCAGTCTGATGTGTCGGCGAGGGCGACCAAATCTTGGACAGTCATCTGTCCTGCCGGTCTGCTGAAACCTTCTCTGCAGTCGGGACACAGTGGAGAGGCTTACTCCATAGTGTCTGGCAATGCTGGCACATTACATGCCTGCCTGCAGGATGCCAATGGCCCTCTCCCTTGCTTCTGGTGACATTCGAGGCATTATGGAATGCACAGAAATCTAAGTGTGCCCTTTGTCTTGCAGTGACCTAAGCTTTGAATTAAGGCCTTTTTAAAGGTGACCTGATCAGGCATTGTTCCACCTGGACCTCGTTGGGTAAAAGTTCACCTAACAAGTTTCTGTGTGATTGGCAAGTTGCAATGGCTCACTGCACAGGCTGTATAGCTGGTCAGAGTGCTTAAAACAAACTGATAACTTTTTGTGAAAGTACATAAGCTATAACTATAGTATTACTATTCCAGAAAATGTTGCGTTTTTTTTTCCCATCAGTATAAATCTAGAGAGTAACAAAATCATTTTACTTTCAGAGTTTTGTTAATATTATTTAGATCAGGCATTTCCAGCTTTGATCTTGTAAAGACCTAATACAGCAGGTTTCATAGGTCACCATTACATCACTGATATGAAACAATTCCATTGTTATCAATTAAATAGGTGGTTTATTAATTTAGAAATTTGGGACAAATGTGTATGCACTGTACTCTTAAGGGACAAAACTTACTTAGCTGGACAGAATACACACTTAATTCTAAACAGGTCACTTATAAGAGTAGCTGGATTGAAACAATCCAAGGGTTAGTCTTTCCTTAATTTGGATTTAGCAATACTTGCCATATTGTAGTTTCTACTCTGAATGCGTTTCAGGCAATTTAACATTTCACTAACTGTTCACATTTCCTATTCTATATGTAAAGCTTTAAGGCTTCAAGCTTTAAATCTCACACTACCCTATTTCTTGTTTCTTTGTTACACATGTGTAATCCATTTTAAGTGAATGCACATGAAAACTATCGAACTATTGATTACCTGATCATGCTGACAACATTTGTTACCGCTATAACAAATAGCCCTATATCATATATATATATGGATGCTGCACCTTGGTGGTGGTGGTGGAGGGGAGTCCCCCTTACCTGTAAAGTGCTTTGAGTGGAGTGTCCAGAAAAGTGTTATATAAGTGTAAGCAATTATTATAACAACCTCAAAGACCAATACAGTAACTGGATCTTTTTCATTAGACATTTATATTAAGATGCAGTCTAATAAAGTATTTTACCATCAAGATGTTACAGTTTCACACATTAGGAGACAAAGGTTTTCTAACAAAATGAATATGCCGTTTAACATTTTTAACATTTAACAAGCAAAAAAATTTAACAAAAAGGTAAGTGCATGGATCAGCTTAAAAAAAGACATTGGCATAATATAAATATCCACAATATATAGTATTGTACAAATGTGAGAAATAAATGTAAAGAAAACTCACAAATAAAGACACTTTATTGAATTACTTTTAATATTTTCATCAAGAAAATACTTTCAATTCATCTTAACATTTTGACTATGATGAATTCTCAAGAAAGACAGGCATAGTTAAGCATTTTTATTTTCCAAAAATGGTAGAAGAAAATAAGTTGTATAGTTTATAATAACATGAGTGTATATTTAGATGTACAATGAAGACTTTTAAGAAACATTAAGATATTTCATTGCTCCAGTTCATTATCGTTCTGCAGAGTTTTCATAGCTAATCCCCAGAGAGTAACACTAGAGAAAAAAGGTCCTTCATTATTTCTGTATGAAGTGGAATTTGTACGATTCCCTAAAGGAAGACTACAGTGATTTTCAAGATTCGTTAGGGATGGACGGATCATGGATGCACTGGGTGTCTCCTCACTATTCGAACTGTTTTCCTCAGTGTAAGTAAATGAATCATGTGGTACCGGAGGCTTTGGCAGTTTAATGGAGTCTGGACACAATTTCTCTTGCTGAGCAAGTAGGTGGTGAGGCACCATGGAGCGGAGCTCTGAGAAAGAAGCTGAGGAGCTGGGAGTAAATTCAACATTAGAGGGCGGATCACTTGGGGAAGGTGGGAGCTTGTCTTGAGCGGGCATTAGGGTAGAAAATGAATCCGAATCCTGTGATTTCTGGTACACGGGGTCAAGGAATTGGCTTTCCATTGACCCAGATATCTCCTCGGCCACCTGGCTGTCTTGGCCGGTCTTGTAGTGCATGGTCCTGTGTCTCCTCAGCACAGCCGAGCGAGTGAAGCACTTGCCGCAGGTGTCGCAGGTGTAGGGCCTCTCACCTGTGTGCGTTCTGACATGTCTCCGTAAGTCTCCGGAGCCCGCAAAACTCTTCCCTGAAAAACCAGATCTGCACACTGTAATTTGTATACTGTATTGTACATTTAGTGTAGTTCTACAAAAATGGGGGAAGAGAAATACCAGTGACGGGCAATTTCTGCAGGTGAAAAGGAGAAGCCTAAGTAAATTACACAAAAAACTTTTTTCAAGACTAAACAATAGAATGAAACACCTTGTAACTGCAAACACCTTGTAACTTGTGAATTTTAATCCACTAAATGAAATCAGTGCAACACTCAACCTACCACATGTTTGGCAGGTGTAGGGTCTTTCTCCAGTGTGCCTAATTCTGTGTTTCAGAAGCTTCCTATGCATGTTAAATGACTTCCCACACTGGTCACAGGTGAAAACCTTGTCCGTGGTATGCGTCTTCTTGTGTTCCTTCAGGTTACTGAAATTACTAAATCCTGTGTATAGACAGCAAGCAGAAAGCATTTCTTTAAACCCGACACAAGTGCTATTCAGCAATTACTTGGTATCACTTTAATTCTCTTTGCTTTGTGCTTATGTATTGAATAAGTGATGGAGAACACACCCACTAACATGGCAAACAGAAATGCAATGGCTTTGTTAATTCATTCAAACAAGTATGTTGTACTAAAGATGAAATTATGTATCAGAGTGATACACATAGCATAGAAATTCATTCTGCACTTATCAGAAGCAGACAACGTCTTTATTCATGGCTTAGCTCCATTAATACAATAAGTACTGCAAGTAGAATATTTGTCTCAAATTAATGCAAACCTTGCTTCTACTTTAGTGTTTCCCAACCCTGGTCTTGGATGAACACGATTTCTCTACGATGATAGAGGACCGATACTCAGGAGTGGTCTCTTTGTAGCATAAAAATCCTAATTTAAGGGTACTGTTTCATACAACTTCTGAATATAGAAAGATGTTGACTGAACGGCTCTCAGTAGATCATTTGATGATTTGGTGAGAATGACACTATCAAACTCCTACATGTGAGGCAAACCACATAAAGGATGGCAGTTTTGAAACTGACGTTTGTACAGGGTTGATACCAATTACAGATTCTATTTGGCCATTTAAGAGATGAAATTAAATTTACAAATATGTCCTCAAAGGTAAACTGAAATTAATTAGCTGATGATTAAGACCTTGGCTGGAGCTAAAACCAGAAGACACAGCGTTACTTATCTATCCATAATTTGCACTTATCTAACTAAAATGCCATTATGTATAATTATGTTCCTGGTATTGTCTGTAGTAATAAATGTCAAGAGATTTCCAAGAAATTACATTAGGAAAGACACTGTAATTCCTTCATCTGATATTTTTGTAGAACTGCACAATTTATTGGTTTGCTTGCATTGCATCTGATTTACTACTTTCTAAAAATATAGATTTCCATATATACCGGATTCTTTTGAGCCTACACAAAAGGGGAAATAGTACAAGCTCACACATGGGTTTTTTCAGTCCAGATCAATGCCAAATTACAGAAACAGTTTTTGACAGGGATACTATGACTGTGATTGTATCCATTCTTGTACTAAACTGTAGTGCTGCCTTTGGCATTGCTGATCATACAGATTAGATCAGAGATGCATAAAGATATTACTGTGAACTGCTTTGATGATGTTTAAATATTGAACTGACAGAAAAGAGTCTGTTCAAATTGGTCATAGTTCTTACTCTACAAAGTAGTCACAAGGCTCTGTTCTTGGTCCAGTTATTTTTAACATCTATGATGCCATTAGTTCACAATCTGCACAGGAATTAGATTTTGTGTTTGTGCTGATGATGCCCAAATACTGTAGATGTTTGCATGAATCCTGACATTAATCAAGCACTGTCTGCACACTCTGCACACTGTCACACTCTTATTATTATGAAATTAAAGCAAAACTCTGCAAATTTGTTTTCCTTAGATGACTAATGATGGTGCTGGAATCAGTCCACGTTCCAAAGCCCTGGTCTGCAAATTTCACCCTAACCTTGGCGACTCTCAGCCACTTGTGCACCAGTGCTTGGGGGAACTCAGTTTCATTCTGCTAGCGACATGACCCTGCCTCAATCCTGCGATTCCTGCATTATAGGGGCCTTTACTGGCTGAACCACCCTGGAGGCCTGCCTAAATATAACTACAGTACAACTGAAATGCATTAGCACATCTCAACTATTTTAGATCCCTTGCCCTGCCTCCATATAGGTTTTAGAGTAAAATTTAAATGAATGCTGCTCACCTTTTAAGAGATGGAACGGTTTGGCTTCAGTACTTCAGTAAATTGTTAACTCTCTATATAGCTACATATTGTTCACTTACTCTGATCTCCTTTCAGTTCACAAAACAAAGCTGCAAATACTGGGAGACTGGGTTTCTGTGCTGTTGCCTCAAAACTCTAGAATAATCTCCCTACCTATTTCATATCTTGGCAAACATTTTCAAATCCTGTCTTAAAACACACTTCTATATTCATGATTAATTTATTTTAGAATTAAACATTTACATTTAGTGTGTATTTTATTTAAAAGCTCTTTGAGATGTATCGTGAAAGGTACTATACAAAATAAAGATTATTTGATTTGTCTTTCAGCAGTGAGAGAAGAAACTGCAAATGCAGTTGCTCTATCTTTTCTTGCGAAATACTGAGACGATACAGAAAAAATTAACTTACCTCGACCACACATATCACAAAGATGCGGTTTTTCTCCTGTATGAATCACAATGTGCCGCTGAACATCACCGGAGGCAGCAAAACTGTAAAGAAAAATAGAAACAATCTCATCCATGATAGTTAAACTGTAAATCGAGGGAAAGTTACTTTTTTCATGCCCAATCCTGAACAGAGAACCAAAAAAACTAACACTAATTCATAACTAAAGGCAAGTAATACATGTTATAGTACACAAAACCTATACATTTCAGAATATGCAACTTAAAGGTCCTTAAGTGTTTTTAAACAATATTCAAGGCATTATCCATTAAATGATACAAACATAACAATAAATACATTTTATGCATATTGCACAACTAAATCCTCATTTAGAGTACTGTGCACAATTCTGACAAAAGACAAACCTGCTATTAAATCAATTCAAAGAAAAAGATTGAAGAACATTCCAGGACTCAGAGGACTGTCCTACACTTCCAAGTATATAGAACTGAAGTTCTTTTAAGTTTTGAATGGAACATTTTTCTGTTCCTCTTCATTTAAATAATGCCCTTCCTAAAGAAAATATTTAAATAATTCTCCCAATTCTTCCCCCCCAATAAAGTGCTGTTTTACAATTGCTAAGTGTATCAAAAGTGTATGTGGAATAGACTTAATACAGTAGATTTATAATTAATTTATAATTAAATACCATCTTTATAATTAAATGTAATCAATTGGCTTCACTAAAAAAAGGCACTTTTAAAGAAAAATGATTTTGTATTAAAGATAGTACTTCATCAAATGCTTATGATGCTTACTATGCCTTATGTGCAATGGTCAGTATCAAGCATCAACATCTTCCCATGAATAAGCTACTTTCAGTATTGTATAATGAAAGAAACAACAGATTTTACCTTTTTCCACAGATTTCACAGATATAGGGCTTTTCACCTGAGTGTCGCCGTAAGTGAGTCTGTAGATTACCTGCCTGGTTCATTCAGATACAAAAGTGGAACAGTGATCAAACTGAACTTCATTCAGATTTACTTTATTTAAAAATTCTAAGAAATTTCACCCCACACATTTTCCAGATGGTTTAAAAAGACAGTAGCTAATCAGAAAGCAAAAGGAATATTTATGTTCCCTCCTTTTTGCAATTTTGGTCAGCTTTTTCTTCAATTGCTATCCCCTTTCTCCATCTACTGTTCACTATTTTTGTAAGAGAACATATTAAACACTGTAGTTCAGGTGGGTAGCTGCGTCAGCATGCGTAGGCTGCAAAGGAACAAGTAATAGGTTTATTCCATGCTGAAAAAAAGAAGAAAGAGAACACAACGTTTCGGCCGTGGAGCCTTCTTCTTCTCAGTTGCCCATATTAGACACTGGGCAACTGAGAAATAAATATGGCCCTTCCAAGGAAATATTGACTATATAGTGCTCTACAATCAAGGGCGTATCACACTGAAAGTAGCTTACCTGTGAAAAGTTTTTCCCACAGATGTTGCACTGAAAAGGTTTCTCACCTGTTAATAGAAACAATACATCACCTAATTTTAACATTTCACCCATGAACTCTTACAGCACAGTTTAATTGATCACAATATTAAACACTGCTGTGGTGGAAAGTTCTGAAACGCTGCACAATGTGAAGCACACAGGGAGTTTGGTGCACTGGCAAGCCTGATGGGATATCTTACTGGGAATGGCTCTACTCATAAGCACACATTCTTGCCTTACTATTCGAAACATGCATGGTTGGTTGCAGACAAACTTCATAAAAATTATGCAATTTATCACTCATAGAACACAAGTGTTTTTTTAACCCCACAACCCAGCTTTAACCTTGTAGTTTAGACAAGAGAATTCAATGATTAAAAACATCAGGTTATCACAGACATCTCTCACTAATTTGGCTACACTGAAGTTTAAGACTTCCACAGTTACAAAATATTCCAGTGCAAGCTGTAGTTTAAGGACTGGTTAATCCATCCATTAATTAGCAAACAGAGTTTCCTGGTGATGGTTACAGTAATCGGAAGCCTATACCAGAAACCTTAATTAATTAAGAATTAATCTTAATCTTGTAATGTCAGTGTGGAGTCACACATAAAATCATCTGAAACTAGGCCTTTTGATTTGTGTGCCATGCCAACTACACTATACGGTAGTTTAAAGGATTGCTTAAAGAAGTTCAGTGTTATGAAGTAGGTTTAAGTCTACATTAAAGATAAAAAACTGATCCCATCGTAGTCTTCAAAGCTTTACAAAACCCCACATAAAACACCCTGAAGCATCATGTTTAATTCCTTACATTCAAATAAAGCAAGATTAAAAGGCTGACAATATTCCACAATACAGACTTTGACAAAGCCTTGGGCAAGAAAATGTTTTGATTTTAGAGTCAAATGAAAACTCCCTCCCCTCACTCAAAATGCTTATACTGAGCTTTTGAAACAGTAGACATTTTACTATGATACACTAGTGAGTGTAACATAATATTTTCTTCATAAATGTCATGCATGGATGGGTGCTTTGAAAATCCTTGAGTCCAATACAAAAAGCATGCATTTATTTTTCCATAAGTCTATGAGATTATGATATATATAAACTTCAAAGAGCATGATTCATTTAAACAGAAAATACCTAATTTTTTTGTGAAAATGTAGCATTCTATAACTTTGTGACATGAGGTAAAAGAATATCAAATTATGCTTAGCTTTCATATGAACTAAAATAAACAACCAAACAAAAAAACTGTTCTAGCAGCTACCATAAATATTTTTATCTCTAAGTTAACTGTCAAGCAGGAACAAAATATTTTCTGTAGATAAATAAGCTTCAGAATAACTTGAATGTATCAATAGCAGGGACAAGAGCTTCTGCAGCTTATGAAGTTCATATGATAACAATCAACATGAAAGCGCACAAACTCTTGATTTACAGTGTATTGAAAAGCACTTTTACACAAAACAAATGTAGTCATTATCATTAAATATACATGTACCTGTACATGTACAGCTACTACTAACTATTATAATCATAACATTATAAGATAACATTATAAGATGGTACCATTCATTTTTAACAAATCGCACACAGTATGTCAGGGTTAACAAAACTCTTTCCGAGTCACGATCTATTAGCACAGGTGCCCCTCAGGGCTGTGTGAGCTCTCCAGTTCTGTTCACACTTTATACAAACGATTGTACAAGCAGTAGTCAAAGCAACTTCATTTTCAAATTCTCAGATGATACAGCTGTTCTTGGCTTAATGCATAGAGGTAGCAGCTCATCTGTATACATGTCGGAAATCCAAAGATTTGTGCAATGGTGTGACACCAATAGCCTTGATTTGAATGCAAAAAAACAAAAAGAAATACTTTTCAATCCCAGAACAGTTGGTGATCACTCACAGGTGGTAATCCACAACGAACTTATCACTTAGGTTTATTCATATAAGTACCTAGGTGTACACATAGACTGTAGCCTGTGCTGGACTACTCATGTTGAGAGTGTTTGCTCCAAAGTTCAGCAGCGCTTATATTTCCTGCGAAGACTAAGAGTGTTTGGGGTTTGACAGGAAGTAATGCTACTCTTCTACCATGCTGTAATCAAGAGCATTATCATGTGTGGTATTTCAGTGTGGTTTGGTCATCTATCAGTTCATTTTAAATCGCAAATTACCCGCCTCATCCAGACAGCTTTGAAGGTCATGGGAGTGAAACAGCACCATTCCCAGCAGACAATCAGCAGAAAAATCCATAATCAAGCAGGCAGGAAAAAATTCTATCAGATCCTTCCCACATCCTCAACTCTGAAGATCCACTTATTCCTTCTAGCAAATGTTTTAGGGTTCCCAAATGTAAGTCAAGCAAATACAAACATTCCTTTGCTCCACTATCCATTAAAGCTGTCAATACAAATGTCAAGAGTGCAATATGTTTTGTGATGTGTTATAAATGTTACATGTTGTTATGTGTTATACTGTACATGTGCAATAGAATGATGTGCAATGTTTTTCTTTGTTATTTTTTTGTAATAGTATAATGTGTAATGTTTTTCTTCTCTTTTTTTGCATTCTATTTAAATGTACAGTAGTGCTGGGTGTCCATAAAAAAAATTCCCTCACTGGACAATAAAATCTTATCTTATTATAAAAATCAAGATGTGATTTGCTTGGACTTTTAGTAGTCTAATTTTTGACCATTGAACAGGTCAACATAGTTCAAACTTCTTTATATTTTATAGAAATTATGTAAAAAATGCACATAATATATATGTTCCTTTGAATCACAGATCATGTCTTTTGAATATTTTATGTTTTAAATAAGTCTGTATTAAATGTTTTGTGGTACTTTTTTTCCCAGTAATGGAAAAATAAAAACACTAATGCAAGTTCATCAAGATGAGTCATTTCTCATCCCCCCCCAGAAGCCTGGCATGCTAGAGTTTCCCTGCTGACATTCCAGAAATCTTTTCATCTTCTGAAAAGCACACATCACTGAAGAAATAAACACAAAGACCAAACACCAACCTCTACCCTTCGCACTGCAGCCTTTCTGCAATCACACAAAATACACAGCACACCTTTCTATTCCTGACAAGATAAAGGGTCCCTTTTCATTTACTCTTCTACTTTGAATGTACCAGATGACATTTTCCTCAGGTCTCACCCAGTCCAAATCCTAACACATTACAATGACACTAGCACCTTGCATTTAAAGAGGACATAACCAGATTTGGGGTGGTATGGTGGGGCAGTGGTTAGCATTGCTGCCTTGCAGCACTGGAGCCCTGGGTTCAATTCCTGAGGTGCTGTCTAGGTGGAGATAGTTGTGCGCATTACATTTGTATGGGGTTCCTCCCACAGTCCAAAGACATACTGGTTGGTTAACTGGCTTCTGGGAAAATTGGCCCTGAGCTGGTGTGAGTGTGTGCATGTTTGTGATTGTGTGTGCATTGCTTTGGACTGGCGACCTGTCCGGGATCTATCCTGCCTTGTGCCTCTTGCTTGCCAGGAAAGGCTCTGACTGCCACCCAGCCCTGTACTGGATAAAGCAATTAGAAAATGGATAGATGGATAACCAGATTTGTGCCCGATAAAGTCCTGCTGTTTCCAGTCTCAATGGAATCTCAATGGAAATTCACTTCCTTCTTGTCCCTTATAATTGAGCTTTTCTGTGCAGTTCACAAACAGAAATCACAATGAAACTCAGGGGCTATCAAGTTGGCTGACCCATTCAAACAACTGTCTTGTTTAAAAAGTACACTGTAAAGAAATGAAAATTTGGTAAACTTCTAAATAAAATCAATTCTGCCTTTCACTTCTTGCTTGCTGGGACAGCCTCCGGCTTCCCTGCAACCCTGTATTGGATAAAGTGAGTAGAAAATGGATGGATGGATAAATAAGATCATAGGATCACTTCACCCTGGCAATATCTGAACAAATCAGGCGGAAAAGATATCATCAACATCAACAAGAGGGAATACAGTGTGTTCCTGGGATGTAAAACAGCCAGCGCACCTCCCCTGCGAGCACCCAGTGGAATTATACTCCAAGTGCAAAGTGTTCCCCATTGTCCTATTTGTATTTGTATAACAACAGTTCACTTCTGCATGGAGCACTGTTCTCATGACACAGTTGTCAGAAAAGGCCAACTTTAAAAGCACCTTGCCTGTCGGCATGTGCAGTTCATAAAGTTTCTGTAAAAAACAACAACAACAGAGCACCATTTGACGCCCAATTACCTGTGTGTGACCTCTTATGGAGCTCCAGATTGCTGGGATGTTTGAATGTCTTTCCGCACATCTCACAACAATATTGCTTCTGGTAGTTTTGGAGGTGGGCAGCATCTGCCGTGCCAGCTGCCGGGTTGTGCTCAGGCTCGTCCAGCTGTGCGAGCGAGGCGCTTGGAAGCTGCAAACACGGCGCGGGGGCAGCTTTACTTTCCTTTTCTGCACTGTGGCTGTCAGCGGAATGGTCGTTAGCCCCCTTGCCCCTGGGCTCAGACTGATTTGTCTCTTTCGGGGCGCTGTCAGCTATCCCGTCCGCCTGTAAAACAGACTCCTCCAAAGCCTTCTGGGATCTCAGGTAGTCGTATTTCTTAAGGTACACTGCCTTTTTTGGTCGAACCTGCCTATTAATTGGAGAGCCCTCACCTGCAGAGCTCTGACTTGCATTGTGCTCCACTGCTGGAGACATGACAAAACTAGACCCCAAGGATCCTGCTGACTCAGACACACAATGTGCCGTGTTGACAGCTGACACAGGCATATCCACTGGAGGGTTTGTGTCTGTAACACTGGAAGAAAAGTGCTCCCCTACCACAGTACTATGAGGTGGATTTACAGCCCCATTCAGAGCTGCATTTTGTTTAAAATACTGTTTGCTGTAAAAGTTTCGCAGCTTATAACCATGACTCAACTGCTTATCTGGGATCACTGAAGCACCACTCAGTGGTTCAAAGGCCGGGGTTTGCAAATGTGTCTGTGGTCTTCTGGAAAGATCAATGTCTGTAGTGGCACACGCAGGTTTCTGAGCCTCAGAGGAGCCGTGCAACTCCATCTCAGGAGACAAACTGGCCCCAAGTATGCATTCAGTATCTGTTGCCAAAACACCTGGTAATGAGAATGAGGAACTACCAGGGAGGCTTCCCGATGCTTCTATGGCTGGAGTGTATGGTTTCAGGAAATTATTGCACATATTGAGCACATTTGGTATTTGGAGACACTGAGCCATTTCTAACATTCCCTGAACATTGTCCTGGTTCAGATCAAGATGGGACGTATACATGAAATCCAGAATTTGCCCAATTCCTCCTACATCTTTAATGTCAAGATGAAAAACATCAGTTTTCTGACCGGGTGAGTTTTGAAATAAGGACCTGGAGAAAAAAACAACAACAACAACAACAAAAAATGTATTCATAAAGTTGGAATATTACTTACTGTAGCTTTTTTTAAAACCCAGGATTTAGAGTTTTTTAAACATTTCATTCCAATTTAACAATGAAATTACCAACATATGCATAATACAAAGTGCTCAGCCATATATATTCAGCATTACTGAATGTTTTAGCGCTAGTAAACTTACCTAAAATATGAACTGAAGGCAGCCAAGACATTTTTGTGGGCCTTAAAACAGACTCCCTTGACAACCAGCATGCAGTCACACAGAAAGCCCTGGATACGCTGCTCTTGGAGCTGCTGAAGTAGGTAAGAGCTGTGACTGGACAGAGACTCCATGCTCAACCTTCATTCCATAGCTCACCCGTAGAACCAGGACCATTCTCATCAGGTTTCACATACATGACTAGGCTGTTGAGCAAAAAAACAAAGTATGAGTGCACATACCCTGCAAGTTACAATTATAAGGACAACTGTAGTAGAAGGAATAACAGTTCCTCTCATTTATATACAGATTTTCATCCCATACGAAACTAAAACACTTAACATACAAAAGGGGAACTACTTCATTCACCTCACCTGGGTGACGAGACCGCCATTTAAATCTTAAGGAAACTATAAAAAAAGCAATTCTTTTAACACAGAAGCTTCTGAATGAGTTAGAGGGAGCGTGTAGCCCGAGCTACAGTGGCCAAGTACGATATGAATCGAACGACTGTGTAGTATGCACCAGGGTGCAATGTGAGGGACATTGAAAGAAAAGGCACCGTTTCATCTTAATGGAGAGCACAAAATGTGAAATATCAGAAATCAAGTACAGCTTCAAGATTTCAGCTGCAGCGAAATGGTTTTGCGTCTGTGACTCTTCATCTGAAAGTGTCACAGCAGTTTTGGTTAATTTCACCGCACGTGTTCGGCCACTAAACAACACAACACACAGCCACACTTGACCCAAGTGGCTGCTTTCTTTCTGCCTGCAGAAAAACCACGCAAGCTACGGCGCCTTTATCTCATTTCAGTATCCCCAGATATAAAAACTGAAGAGACCTGCCAAGACAAAAATAGGCCCAGCATAGAACAACAGGCAAATAAATTAGTGCTCAAATATATAAAACAGACAGTAAACCACGTATATATCAGGTTCTGTAGCACACTTACAGAACCTCAGAATAGGTTACATATTAAACAAAGCACAGTTTAATTCAGTGATATGTTTTAAAAAATTCCTTTTTTTCCGTTTTTTTTTGGTTGTTCGTTCCCCCGTTCTTTTTGACCTTTTACCTCACTTCCGCAACAAACTGTGATCGAAATCGCCACCTAGCGGTTAGAGATAAAATAATGATGTGGGGATAAAAAGGTGTGTTGATTTTTGTTTTTTATTTTGGTTAGATACTATTGATTTAAGGGAGTGGTCCAAAGTAAATTATGCACTTTCAAAATAGTAAAGGCACTCCCTTTAGTGGCTTTAAAACCTATCACGAATACGGATTTTTCACTGTTCTGTGCCCGAGCTAAGTCTGTTGTTACGGTTCCCTTCTGATTTTTTTAAGTTTAAACTGTTAATAACACCAAGCCCTCATTTTCTAGTATAATGAATATAAGCAATTAACACAGTTTTGCGGGTCATGTGAACTCAGGAGGACACCATTTTTCCAGTTCCACTCTACACGAATCCTGAATGGCAAGTCTGGAATCCTCTTCTTGGAAATCCCATTTAGGAACAAAAGTGTTTTGCCACTGAGCAACTTTCTGTTTAATATATTTCCGGAAAACGTATATTATCAAAGGGATTTAGGTTTTGCCCGCGATAATTATTCAGTATATACAATATGACAATAACCCATTATCGTTTTTAGTCTTTTTTTAACTTTGTTGAAAGTTTATTTTGTACATTCTTATTGCCACTTGAACGTATTACACTAATATTGTGTCAATACTATAAGAATAAGTAAAAATTTCGGTTTATTCTTCGACCGATATCAACAAGATTATATTCAAAACTAATCCAGAGCACTTTTGGGAACATCAATTTTCAATTTGGGTGCGGTGTTCCCACGGAATGTAAATAGTGTAACACTGCTTATCCGGAACACGTGAAGTTGCTCTAGGTATGTTCAAGTGATCTGTAAATTCGGACGTTTAAAACAGTAAATGATTATGTAGTTTTAATTTCGTATACATGTACACGAACGGTTTAATTAAAGTAAAAATATCAACATTGCAGTACTGTGTTTTCACTAGGAAATCTTTAATACAGAGAATTTAAAATTTTAAGATTTTTCATTTACCCTAGTCGCTGTCACGTGTTTTTTTTTATGGTTCCAGGGTCGCAAAGATCTGATTGGGGAATATTATTTTTGTGTTCCAAATTCGAAGTATTTCAGGATGGTTTTCTTCACCTGCAATGCATGTGGAGAATCATTAAAGAGGGCACAAGTAGATAAACACCTGAATATTTGTCGGCACTGTCAGTGTTTGTCGTGTATTGACTGTGGTAAGGATTTCTGGTGAGTATCTTTTAAGGTCCAAAATATGTTACTTTAAGGTCTTTTAAGGTCCAAAATATGTTACTTCCCAGATTCGTTTTTTTCTTTTTCTGCTGGAAGGGTGGAATTAATGTAGTTTGCAGTGTGTGCGTGCGGAACGTTGCCTTCGTTAAGGATCACTCATTGAAAGCCACTAAATAACAAATCGAAGTTAATTTTTATTTTATAATCCGCATAAAATAGGTTTACTATTATTGTATTTCATCCTAGTTAATTGAGAACGAAAAAAAATAATACCGCTTACTATCAAGAGGAAGCCGTTTGGTTCCTAACGGTTAAGTGATCTAGGGATCTCATCCACATGTTTCTTGAAAAAATCCAGGTTTGTTCCTACTCGTTGTTGAAAGAAGTGACTCCTGTTCTCAGTTTTAAATGAACTTCTGCATACTTTTCACTTGTTACCTTTGGTTTATGGTTAAATGTTTTCAAATTACTTTGTTAACGCCTTAGAGAATTTCCAATATCAGAACCAAGTTTCCCTTTTTCTATATTTTATCCAAGACTAAAAAGAAACAGCTGTTCTTTTGGCAGTACATTCATTCACTTAAAAGAATCAGACTCCTCTTTGAAATGAGCAGTAATATTAATTTTTCTATTCTGGTAAACAAAATTGTATGTGATATGCTGAATGTCTTACTAGTGCATTGTACAATTTTAATATAAAACCCCTTGAATTCATTTAATTTTAATAAGATGATTTTAGTTATGTAACCTAGCATTGTTTGTTTTTTTACTGTTTCCCTACTTTGGTTTGATGAGTCTTGTATACACAAAAGTCATACAAGACTCTATCCCGTTTAAGTCTGTATTAATATTTCTACCTTAAAAATATTTGAAATATTAACAGTATCCTTGTAGGAAATGATAATCTTCAACACATTTCATGGATTGTAATGCATTTGTTGTTGTTTTTTTGCTACAGGGGAGAAGACTATAAAACGCACCTTAAATGCATCAGTGAAGATCAGAAATACGGAGGCAAAAGCTATGAAGCCAAGAGTAACAAGGGAGATGTGAAACAGCAGCAGTGGATTCAGGTAGATCAGTGTTGTCACTTCTTCAGGACTACATCAGACTTCTCGATATTTGTTCATAGGGCATGAAAGTCTGCTGCAACCTAATTTTATCATCATGATAGATCTGATGTATATTGAAAATGCAGCTTGAAAATTTTGTACTATCATAGATAAATGTTTTATAAAACTGTAAATCACGTCTGTTTTTATATTTCAAATTAAGTATTTTTTGTCACTAGGCGGGTGAGAAAAAGAATCATTGATGTCTTTTATTATAGAATAAAACACTAAACTAAGTGTTTTGTTTTAGAAAACAGAGCAGTATAAAATCTATGTGCTCTGTAATTTAGTATTCTGTTTTTAATTGTAAACCTAAAACCCGTCTTCTTACTGTCGTCTATGTCTGAGTGTATTATGAATTGTTTTGTGTGTTCTTGTTTGTATTTTTATCATTATGTACGGCATCCTTGGGTTTGGACTGAATCTGAATAGTTGTAAACAAATGTCATTATCATTCAGGTTATGTGAAATTAAAAAGTTTTAGCATTTTGACATTTTTAACTGGATATTGTTTTCCCTGAAAGTTTAATCATGTAAAATATTTATGTGTTGGGATGCAACTGTCCTGCACTTTTGTTTTATTTTTTTAAGGTTGAGTGGGCAATTATTTTTATTAATAAAAAAACAAGTTGAATTGCACTGACCCCTGTATCCACATGGACAAAAAATAGGCCCCCTGTCTTGCTATTCAACTTTTGACACATTACAACGACATTGAGTACTGATTGACAGTAATATATACACATCTCTGCCATCACCCCAGACCTGCCAGCATCCAGGAAATCACTGTGGTTGCTTTTTTACTGGGAGCTAAGAGAGTTCTGGCTGAGCAGTCTAAACCCTCTATTGCCACCATCTGGTCAATCCTGGTCAGCATTAAGCAATTGGCTCAAGCACAGCCTGTGGTTGGAATGAGCACTATTACCTTGTTGAGCCACTCAAGGGGCCCATTCAGCACATTTCCCAACTGTCTTTGAGCAATTATTTGTTAAACTTGGAAAAAATGATTTCAGATAATTTCAGCATGTGAATTTAGGGAAAATGGAAAGTGCTTTTGGAACTCAAGGGTAAGTGTTCAAAGCCTCTTTTGTAATGTTAGTAATGTTTCTCATGATTTACTTTTCATATCGTTCAGGCTCCTGAATGTTTTGTTGTTCACAATTCTTACACGGTTATCGTAAATATTCTCACGAGAAATAACTGCCTGTAATATTTATGAGAATAATCTGTTGTAGAAAATCCATGAAGCAGTGAATAAACCAGGAATCAGTCCAAAATTACGTGAGGTGCTGTCCCAAGTGAGCTCCTACGACAATGTTCCAAGAAAAAAAGGAAAGTTTCAGGTAAGTGAACTGGTTTGCTTGTCTGTTATTCCAAATGTGATATAATGATATTATGTGATATTATGCTGTTCTTTAACAGGCATTAGTTTCCACTAGCACTTTACAAAGTAAAACACTCAAAGGTAAGATTCTTTGTCTTTATTATGAGAAGTAAAGTATAGATATATGCATTTTGGATATTGATAATGTTTTGGCATCATTTAGATTGACTGTGATGCATGTAAATGAATTTTGACTATTGCATGAACACTACATTCTACAAAAGAAGAAGAAACAGCAAAATGTCACTTAATAAGAAAGTGATTCTTATTATTCCATTGAGTTGTTTTAAGTTAGACGGCAAGTGGAACGATGTTAACATGTGCTAATTGTTGTGAATTTGAGACCAGTCAGTGGAGGGTTTCAAGTATGATGGAGTCTGGGTAGGAGTGTATAGTCACCACAGAGCTCCAATTGTACTGATTGATGGCAGCCTCATTGTATAGTGCTGTGTTTATTATGTACTGGGATTTTTCTTGCTGGCCTTTTTCTTGGCTCATCCCAGTGTGTTTTTTTGTGTTATACCGCATGCCCTCAGGCTGCACAAAAAGCAACAGCTTTGCTGTGCGGTGAGAATCTTAACAGTTATGCCATAGACGTACTACTTGCCAGGCCTTAGCCAGAATGAGCGTTGGATGAGCTGGATTGACGTATGACATCTAGATCTTGGAGACCAGTAAACAGGCCCAAGTTTCCCATGCTTTACGGAAGGACTTAATGAGAATCCTAAAGGACTGCACCTGCAACCGGGAGGGGGGGGAGGCATATATCACAGATAAAATGCCTATTCACCCACTACCTGGGTTACCTACGGGTTTGGTTCCTCAAATCTTTATGTAGCCCGAGTCTTGCATAAGTCGGAAGCAACACTTTCCTGGCAATTGGGTGAACAATAAAGAATTACCAGCGATCCTTCCTTATTTTCCCTAGCTGTGTTGGCAAGTGAGGAAGGAGGTACAGGAGAGCAGAGCTGCAAACTCACCAGGGTTTATTGTCCTGTAATGGTTAACAGGTGTGTGCGTGCTGATCATGGAGGGGGTAGAGAGCAAGAGAGAGAGTAGCAGCAGCTGGCAGTCCATGATTAAGAGAGAAAGAAAGGATACTTTCCCCCTTTATCCAGGGGGAAACAGTTTGGTGCAGTTGCTATAAATCATTTTGTAATTGTCCTAATAACTTTATGAATTTGTTGTACTTATGACTTGCAAGTTTATTTTGATATCTGGTATGCATCGGAGCTGGAATTTTGGGCAGAAATGTAGCTAAAGATGGCTGCCTGCATCTCCACTGCATTTGCTCAGCTACAGTTGATGCACTGCCTTTAAAGTCAAGTGGGTTTCTAAAAGCCTTCGCTGTTATGCATAGCTATTGTCACCAGGTTTTTGTTTTTAATAGAGGTGCTTACTTGTCATGGGACAGTTGAATTCTAAATTCATATGATGTTTCGGGTTTAGGAACAGAAAGAATTAGCCTAAGAAGAAATTTTTAATTGCTGAAAGCTCCTTAACATGTGGTTTGGTTGTAACTCAAAATCTCTTTTAAAGACGTGAGCTCTGATGGTGTCTTTAAGTCCATGTTGAGCTCCACGAACACAAGTTTGAACCTGAAATATGTCATTAACTGATTTTATCTGGATCTCCCATGCAGCAGTGTGCAATCAACTGAGCACTGCCAATTGTAAAATGGGATTAGTTGTCCAGGGTTTTCTAGATCTCAGTTTTGGTAAATGGGTACCTGGAATTATGCAGTACCCGTTGCTGCTGGTGAGTGATGTCTTTTTAGTCACCTCCTACTCAGGGCTGCTGTGTTTGTGTCACATGATTAATATTGTAGAAACCAAGAGATTTGAGCCTGAGGTGTCCGTTCTCCAAGCTTTATTGTATGCATACAAGGAACAACAATGAGGATTATTGTTGTTGTTCAAAGGGGATATGGCTCTCCACAGCTTATATATACCCACCTATTCCTTTCTTTGAGGTACTTTCTCAAGGAACTCAAGGTCTGGGAGAGCAATTAAAATATTCCTTCCTTATTAAGGAGTTTTTTACAGAGGATGGGGGTTTAGTACAGAGGGGGAGAAGCATCTGTGCTCAAGCAAGCATGAAGGTTAGAGTTTAGCATGTGAATTCAGCAGGAGTTCACAGCTCCTACCACTATATTGGTACAGGGTAACATACAGATTCTGCTAGCAGACTCCATCAATATCACCGAGGCAGTTGGGACAGTTCCTTATAAGTGAATGATGAAAACAAGGAAACCTCTCCCAGCATTATTTGGAAACTTAGAAATTACTGGATAGGCAAAGCTTTTTAAGGGTAAAAAGAATGCTTTTACTTTAAACTGGGTTTAAAAAAAGTTTTGTAACTTAATAGAAATAATAGAAATTATCAGTAACCATGAGATAAACCATAATCATAATGCTTGTATTCGTGAGAATGGTGAAAGATAATTTTGCTGCTCTAGCTAAACATGGCTTGTGATGAACATTAATTTATTTTACATTTTTTGTAGTCTTTGTGCATGATTTTCAAAGCTTTTTAATCGCTTTCAGATTTTAAACAGTGCTCACTAAAATCTTTTTAATGATGGTTTTGTCTATACATTTAAGGAGTGTTTGAAATTTCTTATTATCCTTAAACAAATGTCTTATTTATTTCCTTTGGCGTCATACTGTTGCAATTGCCATCTGCAATTCAAGACCTTGCATCTACACCCTGTGTAAGGATACTTCTCTCTGGTTCAGCTGGAACTCATTTTCGCGTTTGATACATTAAACTGTACTGTTGCCAACCTGATGAGGTTCAGATGTACCCCAGCATCACTGGAAATGCCCTCAACTCAGATTGTTGAGTTGACATGCCCCTCAAAGTGGTCTAACGAAAACAGGACATCAGATGTAAAATTATGAAGTAATGTAATCTCAGTACTTGACCTTTGAATTAAAAGTGTAGTGTTGGCATCTTTTGATATGCATCTTACTATTGTAAATGTGTTTCTTTTTTATTCATAGGCTTTTACTTTATTTTCATTTTAGGAATGAAGCAGTGGAATAGTGTCTGTTGATTTTTGCATTTTATAGAAGTTACATTTTAAAGGAGTAGTTCATGTTTGTGTTATTTTTCACTTTTTTTTTTTAAAGCGCTTTCCCTGTAACAATAGCTTGTGATAATTGAAGATAATTAGGCCAAAGTGGGCAGAGGAGCAGTATTAATAACACTCGGTCTTCAGTAGGTGAGTCATTATGTGTATGTGCAGTAATACTATAGGTATACCTCACTATACCTCATGAGAGTTCCTCTAATTCAGCTCTTTCTAAGCTATTTGTACTGAGATGATTGGATAATCTCAGTAAATACAAAATTGCAAGAAATGTGGACATGGGATTCAGCTCTGTATCTGCAGCACTTTTGTCTTCTAGGTCACTTCTAGGTTTGAACAGATGTATCCTTTCTCTTCATTTCTTAATTTTAAGGATGTTTACAAAATGGTGCCCGTGGCAAAATATCCTCACTTCATTTTGTCATGCTGTATACATACTTTTATTCTTATTCTCTTATTGCTCTTATTTTAGAGTTGGGACTGAACTGACTACGCTTATTCCAAAAGAACAGAATAACATCTTTGTACAATTTCAATCGCCATATTACACAAAAAGATATTGTTGTTCTGTAATCAGTCCCGAGAGGAGCCACAGGCAACATTCCAGGGTTTAAAACAATGTCCTGTGAAGGCAGTCTTAAATAACTGAATCTTTTTAGTCTTGAATGGAGAAGTAACCTTATAAGGTAGATTAACAGATTAGCATCCTCTCTTTTGTAAAATTTCTTTTATTGATTATACCTGTTACATACTGGACAAGACGGGATTCTTTACAATTAAATAATTGATTGAGCAACAGAATTATTCCCACAGTGTCACTTGTTTTCAGTAATATGCTGCTAAATAGAATGTTTTGAGGGGAAATAGTACATAGGAAACATAAGATACATTTTAACTTACTTTGTTACAATGTTTGTGTTTTATTAAGAGTAAGCTTTCTATTGACTTTGCAAAATTGATGCAATTCTACCTCGATCATTCATACCTTTTTATGAATCAAAAGATGACTCTTTAGATTTATATAAGCAGGTAAATCTTTAGATTTATATAAGCTACTCAGATACAGATTTTTCAGAAATTTACAGTGGTCAATGTTTTTTGTTTTGCTTTGCATTAAAATTTAGGCTTAACAGGCCTAACAGAGTCAGTTTATGTTGTGAATTGTGTTCCCATGTGTAAATTTCACTCCAAGCTTGTTTTAAATTGAGAGTTAAGTTGAGCATCTGACGTGATTCATTCAACAGTTGAGCACAACAGTAATGGAGATATATGTGGCAGCTTTCCTTTTGCCTCTCTCTCTACAGTACATTGTCACCCAGCCATTAAAATATTACAATAAGGGCCTTTAACTTTCTTAGACTCAGTGACAACGACCACCCTTGTTGCTGGCTTAATGCCAAGAAGTCTTCACTTCTTGTGTGTTGATTAGAATCTGGTTGGCTGTTTTTCAAGTAATAATGAAATTGCAGGAAACCGAGCTTTAAGTAGTCAGCACTTTGTAATTTGACATGTTTTGCATACCTGTGGAGTCTTTTTAAAATATTTCTCGGGGACAAGTTTATTTTGTTGGATTAAACTGATGTAATCTGTGTTCCTCAAAATATACAGCATGAAGCTTCAACGCAGTGTTGGCAGTGGTAGTGTAAACTGTCTGTCCTTAATTGTGCAAACCTTCTCTTTTTTTAAGTATAACAGTTAAAATCTTGAAATAGTAAGAATTAAGATAATTAAATGTTAGCAAATGTTTGCAACCAAGTATAGTAGGGCTTTTGTTGTTTGACCTGACAGGAAAATTACTAAGATTTGTTTAATTTAAAATGTGTGTTTTATGGCCTTTATACTTTTTTTTTCTTTTTGGACTTTTTTGAAGAACTGGATGAAGAACAGTTTAAGGATCTCTAACACAACATTGTATGACCAAGTGTGGGAAATCTTTTCTGCAGCAACAAGCAATGTAAGTCTAAAAGGCAATGGTAGTGCTGTTAACGTTTTGTACTTTATTATTTTTATTTGACATTTCATATGTGATGATTATTTTTGTGTTGGAATAAGTGCAAATAATGATAGCATTTTATTATTCTCCACTGTGTTTTGTATGCACGGAATTTCATTTTCATTTTTTTATGCATCTGTTGTTGAACAGCAGAGCCAGTCTCAAGAGGGTATAAGCAGCCAGCCTGATGAGTGTGAGGATAAAGTACAGGTCTCTGTGACAAAGGACAGCACCAGTTCAAGCGACAAAAAGAAGAATAAACGAGAGCGGAAGGAGGAAAGACAGAAAAAGAGCAAAAAAGAAAAGAAAGTTTTGAGAATGGAAAAGCAAGAGGAGGAGGAAAATGACCAAGCTTTTAGGCTTGAGCCTAGAGATGAAGACTCAGAAGAGGAGCTGGAGGGCAGACCTACGGAAAACCAGAGGGAGAAGAAGAAAGGAAAGAACAAGCTTGCTACACCTGTAGAGGTTAATGGAACAGAACATATCAAAGCTGGGGTTACCAGCAAAAAGTGCAAGAAACGCAAACATGACAACTTGGAAGGTAGATAATGGGGCGAAAAATTTTACACTTTTCCTTTATCTTGCATGGGACAGCTCTGAAGGTTAAGGCATTTTAAGAGCAAGTCAAAACTAATGTTCATATTCCATAATTGATAACAGCTTGTTCATTCTTAAAAAGCGCCATAACTCTGAAAGGCGCACCTTGTAAGATAAAGTTATATATTTGTTTCGTTGGTCAGTGAGGTACGTCATGCTGATAAGCTCTGATATGGATGAAACAACTTAAGTCGTCGTTTATACAATGAAACGCACACATATTGGGACAGTGAACTAATTTTTTTGTAGTATTTAAATTTGTATTTCACATCAAAAGGTGAATATTAAGGAAAAAATGCCCGCTTTTATTTCTAGACATTGTTGTGCATGCACGTAAAGCAATGTTAGCGCAAAGAAAGTTTATTCCCCTCCCTTTTAAAGTCAGCATAAGTAAACTGAACTTTTGTGAAGTATTTGGTTACATATCTTTTACATGCAGTGACTGCTTCAAGTCTGCAACCCATTGACATCACCAGACTCTTAATATGCTCCTTTGAAATGCTTTGCCAAGCCTTAACTCTTTATTCTTCAAAAAGTAAAATCAGGAAACTTGGCCAATTTGGAAGTTTCCATGTCTTCTTCCTGATGAACTCCTTGGTAATGTGTGTGTAGTACGTTTTGGGTCTTTCCCTTGCCACAGAGTGAAATGCAGCCCAGTGAGTCTGGAGACATGTTTTTGGATCTGGGCAGGCAATGTGTCTGTACACTTCAGACTTCTTTCTGCTGCTGCTGCTGCTATCGGTTATATCATTTAGAAAAAAGACCAATGAGGTAGTTCCAGAGGAAACCATGCATGTCCAAGCCATAATATTAATTTTTGCTATCCTTCACAGATGTGATTTGCATGTCCTCTTTCTCCACTCTTTTGCTTTTGTCACTTTGAAAAAGGTTTCTCTTTGTCTTATCTGTCCATAAAATGTTGTCACGGGACTATTGTTTGTACTTATTTGCAAGTTCTGGGTTTGCAGGTTACAGTGTAGCCGTTCTCCTATCAAAGTATTTTGTGCACAGTTAATTGAGATACAGTACTTTCACCCCTGCACTCTGGACACTGTCTGCAATCTCTTTGGTTATTTTATGTTTTCTGGTCTTAACTCCTATTAATTTTTCTGTCTTCCTTGGATAATGTGGTTTATGCCGTTTGCTTACTCCACCAGTATTTTCTTTCTGTTTCAATATATTCCATGTCGTTGCTTTTGCGATGCCCAGTCTCTCTGCAGTGGTTCTATCTGCATTTTTCTTTGCTCTCATCTTCACAATTGCCTTCTTTTTCATCACACACATTTCTTTAGTCTCCATCTTGGTTTATGCAACCCCAAAAAATAGGCTTCAAAGTCTGGAATTAAAGATATCCTTTTTTCTGTTTTTACAATGAATGTAACATGGACCTGACTGGGTGGTACAGTGGTGCCATGGTTAGCATTGCTGCCTCGCAGTGCTGGGTCCCTGGGTTCAATTCTGGAGTTGGGGTGCTACAGTATCTGCATGGAATTTGTAAGTTCTCCCCAGGTTCACAAAGATTACCTCTGGGTGCTCCAGTTCTTTCCCATAGTCCAAAGACATACTGGTATGTTTATTGACTTCTGGGAAAATTAGCTCTGGTTTAAGTGTGTGTGCCCTGAGACAGACTGATGTCATTGTCAAGGGTGAACCCTGCCTTGCATCTGTTGCTTACCAGGATAGGCTCTGACTCCCTGTGACCCTGAATTGGATAAAGCTGGTAGAAAATGGAGGGATAGAACACCTGAGCAATTAGAAACCCCTGTCAGCAATATGTTTCAGTACATATGCTCACATGAAATGGGAAGATTGAACACAACAAAGGAGATTGTTCTCAATCATAATAACCCTGAAACAAAAGCTGAAATTCTGTACTTTTGCCTCATGTTAATCTTTTAATATAATTTCATTAGTTCATGGCAGAAATATAATTTCACTTTACTGTCCCAATACGTATGCTTTTCACTGTGTATGCAATCTCTCTGTAGGAATTTCTGCTTTCAAGCATTGTAAATTGACTGTTCAACTTGCCATAATTTATAGACTTTAAACTTTTATGAAAATGATAAGCTCAGATATTGTAATACTGTAAATTATGCTAAGTATAGTCTTGGTTTGAGTGTTGGCTGAAGTGATGCTTCAGAAGAATATGGCCATGATTTAGTCCTGGATAACTTCCAGAACTGTAATTTAATGTCACCTAAGCACACCCTTTTTGGATAATTATTTCCCCAGTCATAACACAATTATTTTTTTCCTCATAGATAATCAAACATCCAAGCAGATGAAGATGGAAACTGAAGACAATGCAGAGTGTGAGAATGAAAGTAAAGGTATGAACAGGAGACTTAAAATGATCTAACATTGAAGAATGTACAGTTTTTTTAAGTGTAAAATAAACATTATTTTTTATTTTATTTAGCTTTCATTACAGTGTTTTACAGTTTAGACTCTAGTGGCTGCTTTAGTTAGTTTTGTAAAGCTGAATTGCTGAAATACATTATGTAGGGGAAAAAATAATTCAAGCTATACTGAAGCAACTAAGAATTTGATAAAATTTTGGCACTAGATGGCAGTGTAAGTACATTTTATAGCAAACCTTTTCCTTTTTCTGATTACCAAGTGCTTGGTCACAGAGACCTATTTTTATTTATTCCGAATGATTACAGATAAACTATGACAGTAGTGTGGCTAGGTTTTATTATTTCTGCCATTTGGTAAAACTCTTGCTAAGGAGGACTTTTTATGTTTTGTCTTATGCAACTGAATGTTTTGAGCTTCTTTTACAATTTTTGATTAATATTTCAAATGCAGGAGTCGGCAAATATTAAGATGACTGTTAATAATTACAAAAAATGATCAGTTTAACACAAAATGAACAATTTTAAACATTTAAGTTGAAAGGCTATCATCTATAAAATAATTCATCTGGTTCGGTGCAAGTGCAAGACATTTTTTTTTTAAGTCAGATGCATTTTAAAAATCATTTTGTGGTACAGATCATCGTTGAGATTTTCTATGTGCTTCAAAGTTTACTATAGATTTTGTTAAATTAAATATAAAAGTAGCTCACTTCAATTGTATATGTAAATATATTTTTATTGGTGGTTAAGTTAGAAGACTAACATTTTTAATTTAAATATTTCTCAAAATCTTTAGGTACATGATAGAATAGATATTGAGTAAATCTACTGCAATAATTGTATAATTGTATTGGTAAAATTGTATTTTTGTAATCAAGGAAATCATACAAACTCCCTTTGTATACATGCAACTTTGTTTCCTTATTCCTTTTAGGCAAGTTTAATTGGAAAGGAACAATAAAAAGCATCTTAAAACAGAACCCTGAAGATGGCATTTCAGTTAAAAAATTGAGAAAGAAGGCAAGTTTATAATAATTTCTTATGCTTTTTTTCCTTCTGTGATTTGTCTCCTGCAGTTCCTTCTGTGATTGTCTCCTGCAGTTTATTATGAGTAAAGGTCTCCAGTTCTAATCTTTTTAAATATAGCATTTTGACTTATGTTGCTTTTTAATGCAATTCTTAAGGCAAAGTTTTAAATGTGTTAAATTATATTTCAACACAGGTCACTGCTACACACAGTTAAGTGATTATTAAATCGAGATGTGAAAATCAGCTGTGGAGTAGAAAACCACAGAATTCGACTGTATCTTTTGAAATTGTAAAACATTTAAAAAAGACATTCCATTTGTGAATGAAAATGAAATCACTCTTAGGGAATAAAATACACATGACATTGGTCTTGCACAGTATTGCATAGCTGTGGCAAAGAATTGTTGAAGTGTAATACAAGTCCATCTACTCACAAAACTCAAAGTGTCCGGAATTCATAATGTATTTCTTAACACATTTGCTAAATTTGTACATTATGATAGAAAATGCTGTCAGCGTGTTTATAAATTGATGATGGCACATTTCTTATTTCATTCATATGTTCATCATCTATTTATATCTTTTCAACCACAACACCATTGTACACTATTTTTAGCAATGTGCTATAAACTTTATAAACTATGTGCGGCTGCATTAGCAGTGGCTTTTGTGGCGTAAGGATCAATACAACTATTGGAACCTAACCTCTTGTTCAGTTAATACATTTTCACAATACTTTTTTTATAGGTTTTAGCAGCATACTATGCTTTCAGTGGGGAAGGAAATCACAAATCTGAAGAAGAGCTGCTTTCCCTGTTCAAGAAGAAAATCGCCAACAACCCTAAGTTTAGAGTTTTGAAAGATAAAGTAACACTTGTAAAATAATTAGTTTATTTTTTAGTGTTGCAAAATTATACTTAATGTAAAATCTTAACTAGTCATCTACTTTAAATTTCTGCTTTACATCAGCTGTAAAATACGTTCCATATGTACTCTTGGATTATAAATACATTTTATTGAAAGCAGTTTTGAATTTAGGACTGAAGCTTTTGTATTTTTTGTGATATCTTTTATGTCTTAACTCTCTTACAGCATCTTATTCAACAGTTAACTAAAGGTTGTTCACCCCCTCTGCAGTTCTTACGGTCTTGTGGACGATACAGATGTTAATGAAATAAATATTTGTTTTTTTAAACACTTGGTGTTACTTTTGCATAAGAAGACAGATTCAATATATACAGGGAGAAAGACGTACATGTTTCCCTTTATATACTCTGTGCTGTAATGTGTAGTCAAAGATACCTGGAATTGAGGACATCACACTCAATCTTTGGCTAACTAATGCTTGAATTATGTCATTTCAGAGTTTAGTATTAATAAAACTGCTTTTGTGTCATGGACATGTTGGAGGCTGGCCTACGTCAGTGTCTTGTTGCTTGCTATTTGGGGTGTTCACGGCAGCTTCTTATTTGGTACGTTGTTACAGCCAGATGCAGTCTGTTAATGATGAGCAATGATCTGGAAGACAATGAGCCAAAGGTTGTAGGGTCCAGGTTTCAGGTTTGATCTAGACAGGAGATCTGCTCCTTGCTACATTGATCAAACACTGGGACTGCTCTTAATGATAACATGTCAGTTACCTGTTACAAAAAGATTTTGCTGCAGATATGCTTCATAGGCCACTTACCTGCTAAACCGATAAAAGCAGTTGTAGGTGATGTTTCTTTTGATTATCAGATAGTATCGAAAGATAGATACATAGTGGTTTTCTGGAACGGTTATTTAATCACCGTTTTTTTGTTTTGCATATCCTTGCATACAGATAATGCAAGGTGTATAATTTCCTCAGAAAGACAATTTTCTTTCATGTATTGTCATTGTTTACTTGCAAGCTGTCAATAAGAAATTAAAGTGTTAGCTATTTCCTATAATCCAATATAGACCTGAGCTAGGTGTGACTTGAAACCCCAAACTTGGTCTGGGATGTAGCTGAATTGAAAACAACATGCAGAATTAAAAAAGAAGTAAAAAAGACTAGATGCTCTTCAGGACATTATGCTCTATCCAGCAAATTTGTGCTCTTTTAATACACGGATGCCATTCCATAGTGAGATTCGTTCTTCCAGAATAATGTCCGTCAGTTTACTAGTTCCAGTTTTCTAAGTGAAAGGGGTTTTACACCTTGACCATTTTTTGACACCTGTGTCTTTTCAGCTAAACAATCAATTGCTTAAATTGCCCTCACACCTGAAGAAGGCTCCACTGCCGAAACATTGTGTTTTCTTTCTTCTTTTTTCAGCTTGGAATAAACCTATTACTTGTTCCTTTTTGCAGCCTACGCATGCTGACGCAGCTACCCACCTGAACAACTAATTGCTTAAATGATGACACCTTTGCTTAATCTGACCTGAAACCAAATCAAAAGATCTGGCTAGCCACATTATTTTCCTCAATGGAACCATTGTTTAAACACAAAGGCACATTTTTAAATTGAAAAGAATAGCCTCTTAGCTCTGCAAGTGTCTGAAGAAAGAAAAGAAATCATTATTATGTGTTCATATTTACCCTTCTAAGGATGTCCAGTTTGGGAGGAAAACTGAGACAGTTTAACAATAAGGAATGCAAAACAATCAGCAGTTGTAAAAAATGGTCATAGAAATACATGTAAATATGTCTTTAACATTATTGTCACCTTTATCATATAACTACTGATTGAAGACTTCATCATGAAGCACAAACTTATATCTTTGCAAAGCGTTATTACATCATGACATTCACATAACTCATACTATAAGCATTTACGAAATTTGCGAGTGAGAGGAGGGTATTCAGCCTATCTTGCCTGTTTGTTAGTTAATAGCTAACCATTTCCAGAATCCCTGGAACATCAAGTCATTTGATGTTCATAAAAGCCTATGCAGACATAGATACTTTATTTTGACTACTGTGGAAATTTGTCTTTAAGTTCTCTCATAAAAGTACAAAACACAGGCAAAATGTATAAGTCACATAAAATCTCATGAAGTGCATGAAATCACAACATAACAACAGTATGTGATATTAATAAAAGATTAAATAAATAGGTAAGTGTTTTTTGTACATTCCAAATATGCTCCATGTCCTCAATCTGTTATATTACACTTGGAAACAGCGTGAATTTTAAAGGAAATTAAAATGCATTTATTAGAGAACACTTTCAATGCTGAGAGAGAACATAGAACAAGAACGTCTTTTTTCCTAGTGTTGAGTTACAGTATGTGGTCATTAAACTTTTGAATCAGAGCCATACTTTTCTGTGCAGGCATTGACCACTTCCAATCCCTTGGCAATTTTCAGCAGGTCTGTACCACTGTCCGTAGGCAGCAGCTTTTCAAATTATTTGGGGTTGTGATTTGAAAATGTATTCACAAATGATTGTCAAATAATTGCATGGCTCCTCCACCCCTCGTTCCTTAACAGAAAAAATAAAGCATTTCTTACTATTAATTAAGGCTAAATTAATACTGATGCTTGTTTAAGAGAAAGCATTCATTTGCATCACTGTCCTGCCAATGAATATTAAAGTCCACTTTTGCTGGTGTCAGCTTCCTAGCAATTAAGCTAATTAAAATCATTTTCTGTCGTATCAGAACTTATATTAAGTGCAGATTCTGGGCTTTGTTGGTTATATTGGTGGTTTTTGTAGAGCTGGTTCCCTGAATTATTGAGTTACCCCTTTCTGAAATATATATTGTAGCTCCTGTTAGATTTACGTTCACGCAGTACCATATTCTGTGATTCAGAATGAGGCAACCAAACATCTGCTGAGCATTGCAGCTTTGCAGTACAGGGCCCCTGGGTTCAGAGTGTATTCTGCCTTGCGCCCGTTAATTGCCTGGATAGGCTGCAGACAATGACTGAATGAACTGTTCGAGTCGTGTAATACAGAAATAGTTAAAGCTTTAAGTTTAAGGGGGTTCTTCTAAATACTATAGAGTTCAGTAAGTAAAATGATAAAGGAGGTGAAACTTCAAGATCTCATATCTTTACATAAATGTATTAGCCACCCTGATATATGGATTATATATAAGAACAAGTAATAGGTTTATTCCATGCTGAAAAAAAGAAGAAAGAGAACACGTTTCGGCTGTGGAGCCTTCTTCAGGTGTGGCTCCTAATACTAATATATGTATAGTATACTGTACATGTACATATCAATGGACATCTGTGATATTCCTCAGGTGTATTTGCTTCTGGACATGGACCTACCCCGCTGTTAGGGGTATTCTCTACTATTTTGATACAGCATAATTTATATCACCTTCAGATAGCACAGGTGCTCCAAACGGAAACTAATTCACACTGGTCCTGAATATTGTGTCTTGTATGTTATCTGGTGTATAGATTATTTTCCTTTCAAATTCTTCTGGTAGCTTTCTTTGACAAAATCATTGCCCTTCTGTGCCAAACTAAAAATTCTTGTACTTTTGGACTCTTAAGACCAAATGACTCCAAAAAGCTCTTGGCTTCCAGAGGAATTTCCTGGCAAAATCTAATCTTTGGTTCTTGTTGACTGCACTGATGAAGGGTTTCTTTTCAGCAGCCCAACCGCTACATCTCTCCTCCTTTATTCTCTTTGTCATGCGTTTGCCATCACATTAAAAGCAACAGGGTTCTACAAATATTAATTTGTGAACCATTTTCTCTTTCTTTTTCGTCATGTGTTTTAACTCTGGACCAGTTTTTTCACTTCCAAGATCCCAGCTTTCATTCAGTACTGCTGGGTCAGTGTGTCCTCATCTGCTTCGGTTAGTCGTAGCTGGTAGAGATTGATTCTACCACAAAACACGGAATTGCGTGTAGTACAGATTTTCTAGTAGTTGCAAGGACATATCATGGAAGAGAGTACACAAGGCATTTGTATCTCAAAGTTTACAAAATCTACCAGGATTTGATCAAAAAAAGTCAGGCATGTTACCAGTGTTACCATGTCACCAAATGTGGTCTTATAGCACAGTACTATGCTACATGGAATGCTATTGCCAGCTCTGACACTTTTATGTATTTCCCTGATTATTGTTTAAGCAAATATTAATCTCTTGTCGTTTGTTTTCGTTACAAAATCGGGGGTATTTCTAAGTAGGCCAAGCGTGCACTTTATAAAAATAGGCATGTTTTAAAAACCTTTCAGTTTGACTATAAAGAATTGCAAAGACTGTCTGCTTAGAGCTTGTATATTCTCCACTCTGGTTTCCTTCCACAGTCAATAGACATGCTTGGTTAATTGGCTTCGGGGAAAATTGGGTCCTAGTGTAAGTGTGTCTGTGTGTTTGTGTCCCTATGTCTGCCCTGCAATGGACTGGCATCCCATCCAGGGTGTATCCTGCCTCGCTCCCGTTGCTTACTGGGATAGGCTTCTGTTCCCCTGCGACCCTGAATTGGATAAAGCAGTTAGAAAATGAACAGTATGGATGGATTGCAAATGCCACCATTTCAATAAATGTTGCAGACAATGTACCTGCACAGACACCTACACTACATTACATACAGAGCAGAAGACATTTTTTCTTTTTAGTATTCTACAATAACTTCAAATTCAGTCCTTTGTTCTGTCCTGAATATAAGCCCATACAGGTTACCTACAGTACGTATCCAAGGTATTAAAATTAAAATACTTTTAAATGACATTTGACTCTTAACTTTTTCACTACTCTGTTTGAATTAAATCAGTGCTGCTTCTTAAGGGTAGGCTGTTCCAGTGTCAGATCTGGATATTAAACGAACAGCTAGGTTGGGGAATTGGATGAGCACTACGCACTGGTGATAGGGAAAGACTTTTATTAAACCAGGGTCTAATGGAGGTGCAATGTGAGATGCTTTCAGAAAGGCATTGCTACTTATACATTGGTCATGGCTACTTATGTATGTGTGCTAAACTACGTTTTTAACTTTCATAATCCATTCGTGTTTCCTCAATCATTTTATCTCATTCTCAGAGAGAGTGTGTCTCTTTCATGTGCCTGGAATCCAAATACATATTACGAAAATGAAACAACTGTTATTCTGTGAAGAGGCCATGGTGTTGGTTCATTTGCTTCAACCTCTAATGAGATTAACTTGGCTTACAGTTCAGAACTCTTGTGATGCTACAGGAACATTATGTTGACCTTTTTCTTTGCTGTAATAAAATTGTTCTAACTTTATTCATGGTTGATCTGT